CATCATGAGACAGTTGCTTCACTGTGCTTTGAGGTCCATGTGTTGAAAGTGGAGAAGCCTGGAAAAAAGAGTTTCAACAAAAGCATTAACAGTGTTGTGAACTTGGCGGGAATCTCCCTAGAATACCAAATCGTATTAGCCTCGGCCCTTCCTTCGTCCACACAGCCAGAGGAGGACTGGCGGGAATATCGCACATTTCACAGATGGAAAAATAACACGACACCACGTTAAGTCAGAGGACAGGTGTTTCTCCTTGGTTATTGGGTTTTGTGGCATCCATCCATTTTGAAGGTAAAGGCGAAAGTAGATGTAAATTCTGATTCCCAGCCTGGGGCCTTGAGGACCCAGTCATAGCGTCAGGGGATAACCCGATCCAGAGTCAGTGATATTTATCGCAGAGTGAGGTTCCCACATTTTATATCATTGTGACCAGTGGAGGAAGAGAAAGAGGGCAGGAAGGGAGGAGACAGGGATTGTTTGGAAGAAAGATGACACCCCTTTTGTTCTTTAGGGTGGAGGAATAAGGGAGGCTGGCTCGCAGAGATCTGTGAAGCTCAGTAGTTGGGGAAGGGGGCATTTAAGTGAAAATCAGTCTTAGCTTGGAGTTCTGTTGAGCCTGAAACTTTGGGTCTAGTACCTCCCCCAGCAAGGATGAAGCTCAAAGTGTTGTTGGTGCTCGGTTAATAGTCCCTTACATACTCAGGAGTTTTGGCCTGGGGTTGCCTTTTCTAAAATCGAGGTTTGAGACTCAACTGCATTAAGGTGCTTGTGCCCAGCCGTTGAGTTTGCAAAGTACAAACTGATAAAACCGCTTGGCTTCTCCAGGCACATCATGCAACCCTGCCTTCTCTCAAGTTTTACAGTGCCGTGTGCAAGTGGGAAGGATCTGAATCCCCATGATGTTTTTTGACTACGGTGATAATTACTCGGGGTAGCTATTTTGACGATGGCTCACACAGAGGCCCAGCCCTACAGTGCAGAGCTGTCTCTAACTATAATTGCTTGTAATGATGATTACCTAAACTCTGGAATTATAACAATAGATTTGACAAAGTTAGGGCATAATTGCTCTACCATTTCATATGTGAGCACAGTTTAAACAACTTTGATCTTTTAAACGATATCAGACTTTCATTATTCATCTTCTGAAATAGCAGAGTTCAGAGGCAGTGGATCTGAATGATCCCCCCCTTTTAAGCCCAGGGAGGCAGTTCACCTGTTGGAGAAACAAGCTGAAGTTACATGGAGAAGAAAGAGTACAGACCTGTGGTGGTAAATCCCAGCTCTGTCACCTGGAAGCCATGTGGCATGGAGAGAATCTCTCACCTCTCTGAGCCTCAACTTCCTCATCTGTAAATGCCTCCTTGCATGAATCATTGTATTAAAAGTGAATATAAAGCACCTGACTGGTGCCTCCCAGTAACAGGCAATCAATTAAGCTACACTCTATCGCCTCCATCATCGTGATGATCATTTGACATAAGAGTGTCTTTGGAGTTGGTGATCAGGGCTATGGTATTTTCACTAAATTAGAGACAAAGCTTTGCAAGAAATTAGCATTAAAGAAGAAACAGGCCACCTAAAGATAGGACATTTTGGCCTGGGTACCCGTATCTTACTGAGCAAGTCCTAATGAATGCCTTTGCCTCTCTCTCTCAGCATTTAGTGTACATTTGAGTAAGATTTCCAACTTCCCCTACCCCCAGAATCTGAATGTAAAAGCACTGGGATGGCCTGGGACTCGGCATTTTTAGGAGTGTGTCTGAGATTTTGGGTGATTTTGAGACAGATGGTTCAAGGACTAACTCTCCAGCCCTCTTCCCCTGAGAAGCCTCTTGATAAATGTGTCTGTGGGTCAGTTTGTGGTTTATAAACAACAATAACAAAACCTCTGCTTCTGGACGGCCCAGCTCTGGCCCACAACCAGAAGAGCAGGCCTGATTTACTTGGGAAGGAGAGAAGTGACAGCTGCAGAGCCCTTGACCATCTCAGCGTCTGGGCTTGAGTGTCCCGCCAGCCCCCAGAATGTCACCTATGTTACTGCATCCGGAATCTGTCAGTCGCCCCCAGACTGACGCTATCTTAGTGAGCTAAGGCTGATGTCTGCCCTGCGCTGGCTCACTCAGGAGCCACTGGAATGAATGATCAATGAGGCCAGGCAGCCAGGCCCTCCTCTGACCACCGGTGAATCAGCTGCCGGCTGCCTCGGCCCATTCCCTTCTCCTCAGAGCAGGAAGCACTTGAGCGCTGGATCACGTCTGGCTAATGCCTTTTCTGTCGTGTATTGTCCTTGATCCCATACATTTTACATATGTCAGTAGGTTGGAGCTCCTGAAGACAGTCCCTTCTGACAAATCCCCCACTAATGACCTTGACAGAATTTTGGTGCAGGGGTGACTGCTTTCAGAAGCAGAGTCGACACTAAAAAAATAAAAAAATAAGTAAGGTGAAGATCACATAATAAAATTAACCATTTAAAAATCAGTTCAGTGATGGCTAATGTATACCTAATATAATGCATATATTATGCAACCATCACCTCTGTTCAGATCCAAAACACTTTTATCACCACAAAAGGAAACCCCATACCCTCTGTCTTAGTTTCCCAGGGCTGCCATAACAAAGCACCACAGACTGGGTAGCTTAAACAACCAGAATTTTATGGTCTCAGAGTTGTGGATGTTGGAAGTCCAAGATCAAAGTTTCAGCAAGCAGCCTCGGTCCCCTCTGAAGGATCTGTTCCAGGTCAATCCTTGGCTTGTCGATGGCTGTCTTCTCCCTGCATCGATTTATCTCATCTTCTTTCTGTGCGTTTCTGCATCACCTTCCCCTTTGTAAATGGACACTCGTCCTATTTGATTAGTGCCCACCCTGATGACCTCGTTTTAACTTGATGAACTCTGTAAAGACCCTATCTCCACCTAAGGTCACATTCTGAGATACCGGGACTTCAACATATGAATTCGGGAAGACACGATGCAACCTATCACACCCATTAAGCAGACTGTATCAGTAACAGTACGTCATTCCTTTTTATGGCTGAATAATATTCCATTGTAGGCAATAGCTTATTGTTGAGCGCCAGCACAAAGTAACTACCAGTGGGCAGCTGAGGACCCTGTTACAGGCTTGCGCGCCTATATAGGCTTATGTACACGTAAGGTGGAGTGTTGACCTCATGGGTATATCTCACAGATCTCAATCTACAAGCTTTTTCTTTTATTGTCTTTCTCCTTGAAAAAGTGTTAGTCTTTATGAGCAAAAGTAAGCTTCTGATCCCAGAATTTGTTTTAAAAATTGATTTTATCTTTGATTTTCCTCTGTCCCGTTCCTGTTCCTATCCTCAGCGACTCCTCCACCCCTACCCCCACCCCCAGCGCACATACACTCATGTTGACAGTATTTTACATGCCTACCGTCCTGGGGATGGCTGTGGCACAGACTGGAAGCACTTTTCAGAAGACCCAGCTGGCTGCTGCTCCCATTGTCATGGTTACTATGTCTGGTCCCTGGGGCTGGCCTCAGACCAGAGCCTTTCAGAATCTCCTCACACTCCCCTCCTGGCCCCTGCCTCAGGACGAAAGCGAGACCCTCAGCCGTGTGTACCCTCACAACTGACTGCACTGCCGATCTGTACATTTCACCTATTTGATTAGTGCCCATTTAAAAGCCGTTTCTCTCAGGCATGTGGACGGAAACCTGCATCCTTGCTGGCCTGGGCTCTTTGGGGAACAATCCAGAGCTGTCATTAGCCTGCTGCAGACACAGGCCCCTTTCCCCTATCCCAGGGGCCCTGATGATGAGGGCACTGTGTGTGTGCGTGTGTGTGTGTGTGGTGTGTGTGTGTGTGGGGTGTGTGTGTGTGTGTGGTGTGCGTGTGTGTGTGTGTGTGGTGTGTGTGTGTGTGTGTGTGTGTGGTTTCACACCGAATCTGCAGGAAGGACCATAGCAGTCTTGCGTCGTACTGCCTCCCGACTCTTACTTCCCTCACGCAAAAGTCATTTTATTCCTTTCCCCCCACTGTTTGTCTCTCTCTCTTCCTCCATCAAATTAGTTTGGCCACCCTGCAAGTTCACTGGATGAAGAAACGCCTGCCGGCCCCAGGGTTTTCCAAGAGTCAGAAAGGAGAGTGGAACAGTTGAAAAATGAAGAGAGGGCAGAAAGCGTTCATATCCTATGTTGTTGCACATTATCGTTTTCGTATAAGCACATGCGGCCTCTGGAACCTCAGGCTGGAAGGCTCTACCTTGCTAATGGAATTGGACTAAAAGGAGTTAAAAGATACTGTAGATTTTCCTCATTGTGGGTCGGCCTTTAGAACACAGGTTTCACTCCCGGTGTGGCCTGGGCATCTGGAGTTTTTATATGCTTCCAGGTCATTCTAATGTCCGGCCGCCTTTGAGAATTGCCGTTCTAGGGCACAGAGGCCTCCATGAGAGTTGAATACTTTGCAAGGTGATGGAAGAGACAGATGACATCTAATCCTCTTGTGCCCAGCAATGCAGTTAATCAGGCAGAAAGAAGGGACAGAACACACCGTAGCCTGTCTTTTGCCGAGAAAAACAGGACTTCAGCTCCACTT